AAGTCTCCGTTACGAGCATCTTAATGGAGAAAAGAGAATTCGACCAAAAGTCGATAATGCATTTTTTTTTGACTTATCTAGGGTATTGGGTGATGAGAGTGTTATTAGAACCATGTGTGAACCTGTTGATTGCCGTTCGAAGTGGAAATTACAAGGCTAGAAACGCATCCTGGAGCCGAATGGTACCACTATTTTTTGCACATAACAGACGAAAATATGCAAAGCTAGGAGCAAGAAATTTAGCCGATCTTCAGACAATGCCACAACAGCTCAGTCATCATCTAGAAAAATCATTTGTCGTAAAACGTACTGATCGTCCATTTTCCAGCATTCCAGTGGACCAAGCATTAGAATGTAGTATTAATCGATTAGGTATGACTTACTAGAGAATAGATCATTTATCAAAAAGATATTTCTTCTAGGTAAAGGAAGAAATGGTGTGTCTGGTAAATTCAGTAGTCAAGGTATCGATCGCTTTTGTCAAACTCTACTATTTCGAATAATGATCTATTCCGTCATCAATGACATTGTCGAAATCGAGACTAATAACAATGATGGGCATATAGAGTGTCAACAGAATAGATTAGAACTGGATAACCGAGATTTACAAGTATTAGTTAATAAATTAGATGACGAGAAAATATTCCATAACGATAAAAAAGATTTGACTGAACTGTTCTCTGGTAAAGTTATTCATGCGGCAATCGTCAATGATATTTGTTCCACTTTCGATCGTGGTGAATTGGAACTCAAAAAGTTTATAATAGAGCGACTAGTTGATAGAACGGTTGATATTGATGCTAAAATGGAAACAATGAAAACTTTAAAGTTAATTGACAATGATACGTACGGACTCACCAAACCAAAACTGCAGAAAAAAGTAACTGTTCACGGTCAAGATAAGCTTTCATTAAGCGCCAGTGTAGTAAATCATATTGATACTGGCACTTAATGAAAGCTTATCTTGACCACTGTTCACTCATTATTTTTTACAGACTCAAGCTCTCAGTACTCAGCTTAGTTATCGCATAGCTTTTGAATATTCTAGGCTCGTCAATACCTGGAATCGAAGCTGCGCGATATTGTGGTGTTGAGCTCACAAGATCCTGAAATACAAATCATCGAATTTTTAAAACACGAATTTTCTTCAGTACCGGCCTCATTATCTGATTGTTTCAACTTATTGAATCAATCAAACAAAAGCAAAGTCGTTGAATATTTTCAGCAAAATTTTCCGCACAGTTTCGGCTCGTCGCTCTCAAATGATCAGTTCTCAATATCTGCACTGTTAATCGACGGAGGAGTTTTATTGCAGCATCCGCCGTCAAAAAATGCCACAGTTTCTTCCTACGCTGTTGAATTATTTGAAATGATTATTAAAACATCAACTCATTACAAAAGAGTCGATATTCTTTTCGATTCGCATGAAAGCAAAGGTGAGTGAATCATTTCATCAGTGCGTTACATTCTAACTATCGTCATTGTGTTCAGAAACAAAGTCGTTCATTCAGCGTCATGCTAGTCGAAAGAAAAACACATATCATCTAGAGCCAACATCCAGGTTAGAATATAAAAAAGATGAATACAATAGCTTCATCAAAAATAATCGCGCAGCATTAGCCTCCTGTGTTCGTGATGTATGGATATAACAGTTTGGTTTGGTACCGCAAAATAAACTAATTTATGTTGGTGGTCCAGACACAAAATGCTATCGATTAACATCACAAGGATGTCAAGACGACATGTTGCTTGAATCGAATCATATCGAGGTGGACACTAGATTATTTTTCCATTTAAAAAGCATTGACGAGTTCTGTTACTACAACACAGTGGTTATTCAATCGTGCGATACGGACATTTTAATTCTTGCGATCTCCTACAGCTGCGATTTTGAAAATTTGACGATATTCATTGATAGAACAACACTTGTGAAACGTCTGCAACAAAAACAGCAATACGTCAATGTTTCTAAAATAGCTGAAGTATGAATTGAAACAATAAGTATAACTGATAAAACGTATAGTTCAATTGACTTCAGTACTACTTACAGTCAATACACCAACTTTAACATTTCTACTTTATTCTTTTTATTGCATGAACTATCTGCGAAGTTTTTGAGTAGCATCAGTTCAAGGGACGACAGATATTTACTACTCGAAGATAGCAGAGACAGTAGATACATGCAATAGGACTTAAGAAAAAAAGTGCTGTTAGTCTTAAAAAATTAGCGATGCAATAGAATTATTTCTTTTCTAGGAAATAGCGCGGTTTTCAAATCCCAAAGTTCTCTTGTCTCTCCACGCATTGTCTGGTTGTGATACCACTAGTTACATTAAAAACATTTCCAAAAAGAAAATTGTACAACAATATTTCGCAAACACTCAAGCGTATACTGATCTAGAACATCTCGGACAATATCCACTTCATATCAATGCTTTTATTGCTGCAGAAAAACTACTTATCTGTTGTAAGTAGCCTACTATGTTTCTCCTTCACCCTTCAGATAGCTTACATATTGTAGGTTATGGTTGCCAGAGCTGTTCATTAGATGAGGCCAGAGTCATCTGCGCACGAAAATTTATCAAAGGAAAATCAAGCAAATCTCTGTTAGAACAACTACCACCTACTACGGATGCCTTCGTTCAACATCTCGCTCGTTCAAATGTACAAATAACCGTGTGGCGACAAGCTAGTGAATCACATATCGATTATCCCGATCTGAACGGTAACGGCTACGAGGAAATCGACAATGAATTAGTTATTAAATGGAAAACACTTGATGATCACCCAAGATTAGTTGGATGCAAATGTAAAACCACTTGCAAAAAATGTCGCTGTAACAACTACGGGTGTACGCTTCTGTGCAGCTGTGAAAAAGGTAAATGTAGGGATGCACCAAATCCTGCGACTGTGTCACAAAGGTTGCAAATTTTCGATATTAAAAACCCTAAACTCTACACTGACAAAAATCTGTGTTCTCCAAAACACAAAAAAAAATGATCCTCATTTGTTCCCTATACAGATCAAATATGTGTTCTCTGAAGATTCACAGAATAGAATTCTTCACTATCTTGAAGGACATAATTTTTGTTCTTCAGCTTTTTTGATCTCCATACAGGACAGCGTATTCTCTGAAGAACTCATTTTTCGAGAACTACCAGAAAGCTGAAGAACATAATTTTGTTCTTTAAAAGAACAAAAACCTTGAAGCTTAGATTTTCTAAAAAAAAGCTTCATTTCGCGTTATTTGGACATTTTTTTTGGATAGCTTTAGATAATTTTGGGCCAGAAGAAAAAAGAATGATGTAAGCTGTAGATCAGTTTTGAAAACAGCACTCGGCCTATAACTGACAAGTTGGAAGTTTGAACAATAGTTTCCAACTTTTTAGGTGTGTGAAAGGAGTACTACTAATGCCAAACCAATCGCTTTTCGCCGTTTTGACTGGTCCCTGTTCACTCTCATACATACCCGAAAGAGAAACTATAGTTTTAGCGTCCAAAACAAACTCACGAACAATTTTCATAGAAACAATTTTAAAAAGAAAATAGCCGAGAAAAGATAGAAACAAAAGGTGGTCTTCGACGGTTAAAAATGTTCTAAAATAAAATTTTAGCATTATCTAAAACAAAGCAAAAAGAAAAGACGAATGTGGAAAAATTACAAGACAAAGATAGCTTAGATTCCACAGAGCATTCGCCGAAAACAAAAATCGCCGAAGTTCTAAGTTAAAAAGTCTAGAATTTAAAATAAAAACAGAAAAGGGAGTAACACGAAGAGCTCAAAATATCGCGAGTAACAGACCAAACAAACTCGAAGAATTCTCATAAGACGATCGACTACAAGAGCATCTTTCACACAAAGTGAATTTATTTTTTCACATCATCACACACTCTCTTCTTGCTTTTTTGGTGCATCCCTAGGTAAGTGTCAAAATAGACGAAACAATGCAGAACAACAACAATCGACAATGGACACTGATGATGAAGGAATAACGGATAGTGACGGAGACGAAG